GTGTGTGTGTGTGTGTGTGTGTCTGCTCCTTTTAAATAGCAATATGCTTCCTACAATAGTGTAGTGACCTGCCCAGTGGGTACCGTTTGTTGCTGGGTGCTGATTTGTGTGTGCATTTGTGTCAAAAGCACAGAACCTGCTGACAGGTAATCAGCTGAGCTAAAGCGTCACACTGGGGCATAATCACAAGGTCACACACACACACACACACACACACACACACACACAGAAAGGGACAGTTATTATCCAACCTGAACAGCTTCACAGGTCATTGTCATTGCATTGCCTCAGTGTGTTATTATCAGTATAAAATTTTAAGGTTGAGGGTGATGCACACAAGCAGACCGCCGTCAGTTTACCAATGAGCTTGCAAAATATGGCAAAATTTTGTTTCTTATGTCGCCTCTTTTTGATACTATTCACATTCTCCCCACTTATTTTCCATCATTTCAAATATGACTGCTTTATATCTGAACATACTGTCCCCTTCTAAATGTCTGTTGTATGCTTTGTTCTAAGCCCGTCCAACTGCCACCCTACCCATAAAATAGGTCTATAGAGCTAAACTGCAGTTAGTGACTGTGTCAACAAATCCACACAGTCCTCTAAAACAGCAAACATTAAGGCAAACATGCAATTCCCAGTCAGGCCTCAGTAGGCAACAAAGTATGGCAGCATGTGATTAAGATCTCAGATTTACAAACACAGGTTGTGTTTGTGAAATTTCTACCTCAGAAGTTGAAGTTAGAGCACTTTCTCAACACACAAATACTCGAACAATTATCAGTGCGAAGCAGAGAGATTGCGAGACCATCTCCCCCTCAGTGACATCTTCTCTCACGAGCAAGAGTAGATATTTTTAGATGAGGATTAATTTTAATGGGTGAGATAAGAAGTGAGTCATGGGAGGGACGAATAAATAAGTAAATAGGACATGCAGCAAAACAGAAGGCAACAGAGGCAGTGTTGGGGTAGTGTGGCTGTCATTGCAAGGCTCTGGGCAGATCCACTGATCCAGTGGCGATAGTGAGGACTTTAATGTTTCTCTCCCTGGAACATCAAATCAAAAGAACTAACCAGTGTTTATTGTACTTATGATAATGATTCAGCAAATATAATAATAATTTAAAAAAAATGCTATTGCACTGAAGAACAATGTCCTGGTGCCCTTGGTTAGTTACACATTGAGCATGCAATTGCAACATCAGTACAGAGTATATACAGTAAGTGAAACCAGTACTTAAAGTGTCTGTTGCAAAAGTAAAAGAAAGATAGGTTGTTTTTTTAACAATCCTAGATAGGTTGGGTAGTTATATTTGAATTGTATGAAAGTATGCTGAGCTGACCAATACACACTGCTAACCACAACACAAGCAAGCCAGAAAGAAACCAGACAACAGCACATCCCACTAAAAATATGACAATATACAAGGCACCATCCTGCCTATATCCATTCCTAAATATGCCAGCAGCATGTTCATAAAGTATAAGAATAGTTGACACTATGAAAAACAGGACAAAGAATCCCCCATTGCTGCCTCAATTATTGGCTCCCTGCTGCAGGTTTCCTGTAGGCGTGAAATCATTTGTTTACTTGAGGTACAGGTAAAAAAAAGAAAATCTTGTATAAAAACAGGTATAACTTTCAGATACTAGGCACAATCTCATACACTTGTCCCATCTCTGTGAGGACATTCATTGATATAATCCATTCCCTAATATCCTTTCAGCCAACAAACGGACACCATAAGCCGCTCCCAAACACTCTGAGTGTATTAACAAAGAGTGGTGACATCGCCATTGACTCCATGAAGACCATTTTTTACAGTAACGGAGGATCACTGGACCACTGAATAGTCCCAAACATTACGAGCAGCGCCACAGAGTTGTATTGATTTGGCTGCTATCTTCCAAAGTAAGAAGCTGAAATCAATAGCAATAATTATACTTGTGACATTTTAAGGTAGCAATGTGTTAAAACATGTTTTAGAAACCTTTTGACTGTCTCTCTCAAATATTGGGTCACTTTGCTAATTAGGTACGTAGTAAACCAGCTAAATTAGCTGAGCTATCCACAACAAAACACTGAATTAGTTTGGAAAGCTGTACAAGTCATTAAAAGTAGTAATTGCTGATAAATCCTGCTGTCCCTTACACAAAACAATGGATCTTAATAGACAGTTTGGAACAATTTGAAGCTCCAATTGTCACGTGATCTGCTTCCATTTTAGAACCTTCAGTGTCACAGCTCTTAGGGCTCTGGTGATAAAGTTAAACAAAGCTCAAATTATCCCCTGTTTAAATCATTTTAATTCATGGACCATGCTAGGTTGCTAATGTTACCAAAACACATTAGCTTCAGATGCTAACACCATAGTGGAATCAAACCTGAGTGATGTGGCTGTTTTTAGCACTCTCTATCTCAAAAAGCCAAACTGATGTTAACCCTAGTTCTGGCTCTTTGCCCCGCTATGCAAAAGAACACTGTTTTGGCCATTGTCTTGGACTTTTAAGTGCCAAGTGCTCCTTGATGGCTGGATGTTTACAATGGCTGCTCACACTCAAAGAACGCTTCTTATAACCTTCAATAGGTGCCAGAGATGTCTAATGTTAAGGCAGATTCTTCAAACACGTTGTAGAGAAGCTGGAATAACATCAGAAATGTTATAGGCAGACATTAGCCCCTGGCCCATTTTCACTTGATTTATAAGACTGTGTAAAATCTTAATCAATGTACCTTTAACCATCACAACTAAATGCCCAGCCCCAACCCTTACACTACCCTAACCTAAAACCATGTCTTAACCCTCCACCCTTGAAGGTGCATGAGAAAGTGAGGACAGGCCAAAATGTACTCATTCTCATAGTATAAACCCCCAACTAGTCTACACAATAGCCATACAAGTACATAAACACAAACACATCACTTCAGAGGACATTACATTGACTTATATTCATTCCCTGGAGACTTACCCTAACCTTCACCATAATCACTACTTGTAACCTCACACCTAGTCATCACTCTAAAATGTAATGATTTACAATGTGTGGGCCAGCAGGGTGTTTAATAATATTTAGTGCATTTGTCTTTTGGCATGTTAAATGCTGCAAGTTTCCTCCTCTCCTACATTTTTTAAAATATATTGATTCCTATATTTTTGGCATGCCTCACTGTGTCCATACAGTAAAGTGTCAAATTTTATGGATATTAGCAGCAGTAGTAGTAGCAGCAGGTGCAGCTGTATGAAATAATTAGGACTGGGATTAGGGTTATTGTACAGACAGACAACATCCACACACATTGACGTGATGCCTCTTAGACTATAGGAGAAGCACTCATGTTTCATTACAGGATCATTACAGCACATTAATGTAGCTTGGATGTTCAAATACAAGTTAGAACATCATTACATCCAGACAGACACGTCCTCCAGTCTATATTTAGATCTTTCTACTATTGTAACACTTCTGCCAGGTTCAATTATGACAGGTAGTGAAATGACAGGGCTACATTCATGCATACTCGATCTACACACACAAGAGATATGACAGACTGAAGATACATTTCTAATTAATTGCTGACACTGTCATTTATCCCTCTCCTCATTAAACAGACTTGATTTATTGTCAGGTCAGCTACCGAGGGAAGTGAATTTTATCATCTTTTTCACTTGAAACTGTGCGCATGTGTTACTGCAACAGCAGAGGGCAGATCAGAGGAGAGTTTTTAGGCTTTGATATATGACCAACATTATAGGGAAATGTACCATATGGGTAATACTGGGTACAATTATGACAATTACAACTGAAGAGTACTTTTTCATTGCACTTTTTCTTGCTTATGGACCTATTCATTTTACACAGTGATTTTATGATCTGTTCTGCTGCTAATCGCTCATCCGTTTTTGCTTCTAAGAAATAGAAAAATTGTGTTAACGCCCCACCCCACCCACACGGTAAAGAGAAGGTTCCTTTACATAAAAAAAAGCTAGCAAGAAGTCTTAAAATTCCAAGTAGTACATCTTGATGCAACTCCAACAATCCTGCTTGTTAATGTTGTTTGCATGTTCATTTGCAGTTTATCAGCGTTATTCAAGGACATGTCACTGTCTTGTATTCAAGTATCAGTATATAAGACTTATCAAAAATAAAAATTTGTTTTATCTCAAAAGCACAGGTACAATACTGGTCACAATAGACATGGTTAATGTATGTGAAAAAAGAATGGACTGGTTACACGTCTCCCTTTAGCCAAGGCAAGTTCTCCACAGAAGACTAGCAGCGGTTTTTTTTCCAACTATGTCCTGATGATACATACTCAAATTTAATATATTCATACAGCTTAAAATAGCTCCAACACAGGGTACAAAGCTGATGTTTGGTGCTACTTGGGCTCTGACCTTGTCAACCCTGTAACCCCCAGCACATGAGATTATTACAGAACTGCATGCAAATGTGCAGGTATGCCAATAATAAACTGCCCCATCAAAAGTGCCACCTTTAATCTACAACTACTGCAGCACCAAATAGGATGTGACCATTCTCCAGCACAGCACCCGTAGTTAAAAACACACCTTAACACAACAATCCACCTGATGTTGCAGCACATGTTAAACATGTTATGCTTCTAGAATGCCTCATGAAGCCAATATTAAAAATGTGAGCAAGCTGTATGCAAGACAAAAGCCATTCCAACATCTAAACTAGACAATCATAATGCAGGTCCCAACCAAGCAAAAACTACAACAAACAACAATAAACAAAGGAAACAACCTCAACTACAAGATAGCATTTCAAAATACCTACAAAAGCAAATATTGCTATGTGTCAGCAGCACAAGATCAAACATACAACCAGCAGACAAGACATTCATGTACACAAGTACAGTAGCAGGTCCCCATCAGTACACAGCAGATATAACCAAGCATACGAACACAAAATGGACAGAGCCACGGCATTAGGTCACAGCAGGCATGTTAGCATAAGTAACAATTTCTTACCTGGGTGAAGCATTTTCCATGGAATTTCTTTGGACAGATAATCCTTTGAAATTGGTCTCAGGGGTCCTAAGTTGTCTAGTGCAGCTCCTCTGGCCTGAAGTGACTTGAATTGGAAATTCTGTGCAAGTAATGACTTCTGAACAGGGCAGCTGAGTGGCAACAGCAGTCAGCGGTCCAACACAGTTTATTTTGTCCACAAAGTCAGTGTTGTGTTATTTATTAAGTTACATTTCCAGGCCTTTGACAAGTTAGCTTCCCTATGAGATAAGACATGAGCAGCAAAAGCAGCGGTGGAGCTTGGTACCACTAAGAGTTTGTAGAAAAGTCATAGCAGTAATCAGATGAACTGTGAAGCAGCAGGTGAACAGAGTCAAACAGTGGGCAGGGATTAGTTTAAGAAGCCCGACTCATACAAAAGGGTGCGTTGGATTTGTTGCAGCAAGTAGGCTACAGGTCATGTGTGAGTCAAGGATGGCAAACAAGAACTAGCTCAGAACTAGGTCCAATGCCTGACTTGAGTTTTAACTAAGATTATATACACCTGGAAGAATGATATATGTCAGCATTAAGCCACACAAACAAAACGGCCAGGATACAGCAGTTCCTTCAGTATGACAAAAAAACAACTCAGCAGGGCGGGGACTCAATAGTACACTATAAGCATAAAAAAAGAAAGAAAAAGTAGCCCAGTGAAAACTTATAAACTTACAGGTTCTGTATGCCAAAATGTATTTGGAAATTACCTAGTACAGTAGGGTTACAAATATGAATATAGTAAAATTGTATATTATCTATATAGTAAAAAAAAGTGGTTAAAAATTAAAATGGCATCCAAACTTGTTACTTCAATGTAGGATAATATAAATGTTCCTATCAAAACCCTGCCAGATAAACTATAATCCTTTAATACCAACAGTGAGTTTTCTAGTCAATGATGTACATACAGTACACTATATTGGCAAAAGTATTCACTTGCCTGCCTTCACATGCAAAGTTGCCATTCCCACAAAGTTGGGAGCAGGAAATTGTCCAAAATGTCTTGGTATGCTGAGGCATTAAGAGTTCCTTTCACTGGAACTAAGGGGCCAAGCCCAGCTCCTGAAAAACAACCCCGCATCATAATCCCCCCCTCCACCAAACTTTACACTTGGCACAATGCAGTCAAACAAGTACTGTTCTCCTGGCAACCACCAAAGCCAGACTCATCCATGGGATTGCCAGACAGAGAAGCATGATTCATCACAGAGAACACGTCTCCACTGCTCTAGAGTCCAGTGGCGGTGTGCTTTACACCACTGCATCTGACGCTTTGCATTGCACTTGGTGATGTAAGGCTTGGATGCAGCTGCTCGACCATGGAACCCCATTCCATGAAGCTCTCTACACACAATTCTTGAGCTAATCTGAAGGCCACATGAAGTACTCTGCAGAAAGTTGGTGACCTCTGTGCACTATGGTCTCAGCATCCGCTGACCCCGCTGTGATTTTACGTGGCCTACCACTTCGTGGCTGAGTTGCTGTTGTTCCCAATCACTTCCACTTTGTTATACCACTAACAGTTGACTGTGGAATATTTAATAGTGAGGAAAAGTCATGGTACTTATTGCACAGGTGGCATCCTATCATAGTACCACACTGGAGTTCATTGAGCTCTTGAGAGCGACCCATTCTTTCACAAATGTTTGTAGAAGTGGTCTGCATGCCTAGGTGCTTGATTATATACACCTGTAACCATGGAAGTGGTTGGAACACCTGAATTCAATGATTTGGATGGGTGAGTGAATACTTTTGGCAATATAGTGTATGTAGGATATTTTAAATTGCCATTAGTGCACTCACAATTTCACAGAACAGTTTAACACACCAACATTTGTTAGTGTAGGTTTTAAAACTTCTGGTTGGGAGAAAGTGTGCCACATATTATGTAGATTAATGTCAATAACACAACAGAAGCCATGTTTGCATTATTAGATTTTATTACTGCACAGCTAATACAAATATTAAAAAAAAAAAGGTTCTGGAAATAAAAAGTTATTAAACGTGTTGATGTACAAAAGCTGGCAACATATCAGAGATGATAAACAGGGTAATGAACACTAATAAAATTCTTAATCATATATTTTGGCAACGTACGTTGTCAAAAACGTGGGATGTGAATTCATAGAATGTGGTTCAGTTTATAAGCTTTATGTTGTGGAAGTATAAGAAGGTACACCACCACTTCTAACACCTTGTTCTTGGCTGTGCTAGAAGACTATTTCACAAACAAATCTTGCTTTCTCACTGATGCAGTGATAATGACAACAGTGCCCATCTGTGAGCCAGACAGACACCAAAATACTCTGAAAATGTTATCAAAATCAAGCTTCTTCAAATTCCATCACTGAATACTAGGTGAAACACAGGACAATGAAATGAGACAGGCTGCAGAACACATTGTCTTTCTTCTAATACAAATCATCAGGTATTGGAAAATAAGATGCATGAAAAAAGACAATAATTACACAGTTAATTCTATTTAAACAATATATAGAAAAGTATATACTCTTTGTAAACATCAAGGAAAGTAAGAATTGATCCAGGATATTTGAATTTACATAACCTTTTTTTAATTGCTGTGATCACACCAGCATCAATAAAAGAAATAATATCCTCCTAGATTTTCATATAGTAGATTGAAATACTCCCATTAAATTCTACTTTGTGAAGTCTATGTGCTTTTTGTGTGCACACCACTTATGGACCATACTTTGTAGTGTTTCTTTATTGGACTTTTTTTCAATTGTTACGTTATTTAGTCCACCTTCTGTATAATCAGATTTAGACACTTTCTCTTCAGAGACAAGTTGCACAAATCTATACTTAACATGCAAACTTCCAAAAGAGCTATCTTTGACATTCTGGATTATTTCTGTCTGTTTAATGGCCAACACAACTCTGTTTGACTGAACGCCCCTTCACCTCATAAAGCATCCTAGTGTGCCTGCCCGAAGTCATAAATAGACAATGACAAGAGAGCTACCCTGAAAACATCTCTATGTGAATATAATAACCTACATTAATGACTTCAGTTGACTCTTTACAACAATAAGACTTTTCAGTGTATCATATAACTAATTAAGTCTTGTCTGTGACACTAACTGTTGCCCATTCCTTCTTATTTGACGTTTTTTTCCTCCCACGCTCCCACAAACGCTGTGAAGACAACTGAGAAAGATCTTTACATATAATAGAAAATAGGCTCTTCAGCTCTACAAAGTCTTTGTAATATATTGTTTCTTCACCGCAGTATAGAGGACATAATTTTATAAGAATAGATTGATGGATGACTGTAAAGAAGTATAAAAAATGTGGTTTCACAGATTTGATTGGATAAAAGGTCATTCAGTCATCCTGATTCACAGGCACTCAACATTTCACTAACATGACATTCTTCCATCTTCGTACACACATTTCTGCTGGGCCAGTTTTCTTACAGCCCCCTGACTCCATCCTGGCAGGCCTAATGATCAGGGAAGCCTGGCATAGGAAAGGGCCTGGCAAAAGCTTCAACACGGTGGCGTAGGTCTGCGATGCGAGCCACAGTCTCTGGGTCCTGAAGAAGGAAGTCCTTGAAGTCCTGGAGCTTTCCTGGAAAAGACAATAGAAACTCTTCAGCTTTTCTTTTTTTTGTTTTATCACCACTGGGCCTTATGTTTTTTTTTTACTAGCCATACTATACAGCAGATTGTGAAATATAGAGTACATATGTATATACAGCATATTGTACCTTTGTTTTTCTAATAAATACATAGCTTCACACTGACATTTGAATAAAAACATGAAGCACATATTCATGTCAATCATCAGGCTATGTTATAATGTGTCTCCCTTCTCACATTAGGCTTACCTGTCTTTTTCTTGACATCCAAGGCAATCTTGAAGCCCTCATCCATGAACTCGACAACTTGCACAAAGTCAGCTTCTTTGAACTGTCTGGAGGTCAGGGCTGGAGCCCCTGGGACAGAGAAGAACACTAATTCTGCAGCTTGAAATAAAAAGTAATAACTAGAAGTTTCTTCCTTTTATTTTTCCGCTTCAACTTTTTATTTTTCCTGAGGAACGATATGGTCCTAAGAAAAAAAGCAGAACCTCGGAGTTTCTTAAAATTTCAGTAATAAAGCTACTGACACCAGATGGGTCAAAACCTACATATAAAATGAGTCACAAAAGTTCTGTCCAATTGAGAAGGTAATAAATGCAAGTGTAAATGTGGAGCTCTTTAAATTCCTGGAACCAAATTAAAAAGTCAAACATGATTTGTGAAGTGCTTATGGCGGTGGCTGACTAATTTCCATATGCAGAATTACATTTTGATAAACTAAGCAAAACCGATCAAGTGAAAAGGAAATTTGACAAACTACCTCAGCTTGACTTTCAATATGAAACAAAACAGTGAACAACTGACCAACCAGGACTAGTGATCTTGACAGCGACTTTGAAATTAAAATTTTTTCCAATATATATGCAAGTCAGCACAATTTTCTTTTTTTGAAACCATTTTGTGATCATACAGGCTAAATATTGTGTAGTGTGAAGCTGGTCCTTACCTAGCCTGAGGCCACCAGGGGTCAGCGCGCTCTTGTCCCCGGGGCAGGTGTTCTTATTGGCAGTGATTGACGCAAGTTCTAGCACCCTTTCGGCCCGAGCCCCGTCAATGCCCTTAGGACGCAGGTCCACCAGGACCAGGTGGTTGTCAGTCCCACCTGAAATATTCACCATTTTTAGTAAAACTTTTGAAGAGAACAAAGATCAAAGAACCATAACATTGGTTTAATATGGAAGCACTAGATTAGTACATTTAGGTTATTAGATTTGTTAGCTTTATCATATGAAACTGAATGCAGTTAAACCACTGCACCAATGCAGACCACTCTTTTGCTCAATACGTGCTCTGTGATGAAGAAATGGACAATTTCATGATGCGTTCCTTTAAATCTAATTTATTGAATGTTTGTCATCTGTGTGTCTGAGTTATTGCTTTATGTTTGCACTGAATCTATTTTATTTTATCGTGATTTTATTCCGTCTATGTAAAGTACTTTGGTCAACTGGATGTTGTTTTTAAAGTACCATATAAATAAATTTGATTCGATTCGACAATTCATTCACTAAAACAATAGAATATTTAACACTGATTTACTCACGATTAAGAGCAAATTACTCAAGAATCTGCTTCTGTTTCCTGTATGCACAAGCACCAAATACACAGTGCCTTCAGTTGGCGGTTTATGTACACCTAGGTAAAACTAACAGAGCATCATACAATATTTCAAAAGCTGCAGTTCACAGTGCTGTTGAATTGTATTCCATTATACAAAGATGTTTCTGTTATTTTGCCTGCCCTCGCTGAAAAAGGTGAATAAAAAAAAAAAATAGAAACACTCCTGTATAATGCAATACAGTTCAATAACACTACAAATTGCATCTTCCAAAATGAACAAAACATCATGAAGCTCATGAATGTATGATTTATTGCAGGACTGCTATCTTAAACTTCATTAGGTTGAGCAGGCTGGACCTAGAAGTATATTATTATAACATTTTACATAGTTAAAATGCCTTAATTTTCCTTTAGCCATCAATGTAAAAAAACTTATTTGAGAAAATACACACTCGTTTCTTTTTTTAATTTTTATTTTAACATTAAACCACACCCCTTTCCACTTCTATCATACAGACAGATACAAAGGGATTAAAAAACCAGGAGCATGCACACAGTGCTGTGTAAGCACATGACTAGTCTGTATTTCTTTAGGATATCAATTGAAGGCTATATATCAAAAAACAGCTGAGGGCAGCAGATTAAATGCAGTACAAGATTCAAGAATTCACTCACAACTAGAAAGTGACCATCTTCATCCATTTTATTTCCTTGACTGACAAGTCAGTTACATGGACATTAGTCCATTTGCACATCATGAATTTAAATGCATTTCTGTTTTTTCCATTGTGTAATTTGCATTTTGTGAAAAGGACATTTTTCTTTATTGACATGTTTTCAATGTTTCTCTCTGCTGCTTGCTGAGTTAGTGTCTTCCTGGGAGTAAAAAAAATAAATCTTAAATATAAATTAGATTACCTGATACCAGGATGTAGCCTTTGTTGAGAAGAGCTGCAGCCATAGCCTTGGCGTTCTTTAGTACCTGGGCAATATACTCCTTGAACATGGGACTCTGGGTCTGGATACACAAACAAACAGACAGGGCTGAGCTGGACACAAGTACTGAATTGAGAGTTAGCTTTCTCATTTGGGTACCAAGAAATCATGGATGATAGCATAAGGATAATCACCTTTATTGGCCAAGTATGTTACACACAAGGAATTTGTTTCCAGTACAGAACCGAGGCAGCCATCTGCGGCACCAACTCAACCGATGGCTCTAACCATTGGGGGCAACTGGGGGGGTTCAGTGTCTCGCCCAAGGACACTTCAACATGTGGACTCCAGGCAGACTCGAACCTTCTGGTTGGGAGACGACTACTCTACCCACCACACCACTGTCACCTCCCCAAGATCAGGAGAACTATTTCCTATTATTTAAACCTGTTTTAATACAGTCTATTATTTGAACCTATGGTTAGAAATGTTGAATACTTTCCTCTGACACCTGGTCACTTAAACAAAAACTAAATATTTTGGCAACCACTTAAAAAGGTCAGAAGTACAGTGTATCAATCATGACTTAATTTTATTGATCAAAAGGTAAATAAGCTGAGATTTTTTGGTTTGGAGAAATTTCTGTTCTATGGTGCCAGTGAGAAACATCACCTTTCCATCCTCTGATTAAATGTCAATAGCTGTCTAGCACAGAATTAAGATCCAGCCAATCAACAGTTGAAAAAGACAAACAGCACATGCCCACAGTAGATTAGGGAACACGCTCCCGAGACAAGCTGCGCCAAAGAACCTCAGTGGCAAGATTTATTTCATTTAACTTGATTCAGCAGTTACTAAACTTTGTTTTGGGAAATAACAGACCCGGGTAACACAGCATTACACCAATACAAATCAAGTCAGTTACTTTGGCATTGACATGTGTGTGGTGTGCTGACCTGTCTGAGGGCCACAGCCACAGCAGCAATAGCATGATTATGAGGTCCACCCTGCAGGGAGGGGAAGATAGAGAAGTTGACCTTGTCCTCGAGGTCATACAGGATTTCCTTCCCCTTCTTGTCCACTGAGCGAACACCTTTACGATAGAAGATGATGCCAGCCCTGGACAGAAGAGAATAATTTACCATTTTAATTTTCCCCAAAACCCGAACCAGGTTTCATGCTTGGTAATTTGATTTGTCCCCACCCGTGGCTCTTATGGCAAGCAGAGTGTCCTTACCTGGCTCCTCGGAGGGATTTGTGTGTAGTAGTAGTGACCAGGTCAGCATGTTCAAAGGGGGAAGGGATGGCTTTGGCTGCTACCAGGCCACTGATATGGGCCATGTCAGCAAGCATGTAGGCCTTAATGTCAGTGCACAGCTGAGAAAGAAAAGCATGAAAAAGAGGGAACAAACACAAAATTAGAAATAAGATTTACACTGCATGGCAGGAAATTTCTTTTTCAAGAACCCAAAATCACGACTTTACTCTGATATACATACAATTGCGGTGAAGTCGATCCAGACTTGGGACAATGAGACACTTTTAGGTTGGCTTTTATGACTTATGTAAAGTTAATTTGAAGGTGTTTGCATCCAAATCAGATCACCAGAGTAGGAACTGTAGTCAGTCTTAAACAAATCCCCCTACTTTTAGGTGACAAAGTAATTAAATAAGATTTAGATAAAAGTTCAATTAATTGATTATTTGCATTTGGTTTTCAGTCAGAACAGTGACCTGAAGTCTCCAACACATCTCAGTGTTTCAATCTTCAGCAAATGAAATACATGTGCTTTTAGAATGAAGTCAAGGACATTCCACTGTCTCGCCATGAAAACCACTTAACGTGCCTTTGTTTATTCAGTGTTTTTAACATTCAAGGACTATGTAGAAAAAGGGGAAAGTCCTATGATGTTAATCCAGTCAAACCCCCATATTAGATGAAAGTCAGCACTTTAGCCTTAGTCACTGTTTACATAACATCCTGGAGTAAAGAGTGAAAATGTGTTCATTTCAATTTATTTCAATTTTATTTGTATAGCACCAAATCACAGCAAAGGTCATCTCAGGACACTTTACAAAGTAAGGTCTAGACCTTATTATTATTATAGCGGGAAAAACCCAACAAATCCCCCTTGATCAAGCACTTGGCGACAGCAGGGAGGAAAACCCCCTTTTAAGGGAAGAAACCTCTGAGAGACCCCGGCTCTTAGTGGGTGGCCTTCTGCCTTGAACGGTTGGGGTGAGTGGATAGAGGAGAGAGCAACAAGAAAAGCAACAAGACACAACAACAAACAAACACTGGGCAGGTTGATGAGGCCACTGATTGCTAATCAGAAATGTACAGCTCCAGAGCCAGGGCTACCAGCAGAAAGGTACAGGGAGGGGGAGAGAGAGAGAGATACCTAAGGGAAGGTTCAGGGTCACCTCATCCAGCCCTAACTGGCTGCAGCATTTTGGATTAACTGGAGGCTTTTTATGGATTTAACTGATTGTAAAGAGTTACAATAGTCCAACCTGGAAGTAACAAATGCATGGACCAGTTTTTCAGCATCACTTTGAAAGAGGATGTTCCTGATTTTTGCCATATTGCGCAGGTGAAAGAAGGGAGTTCTACAGACTTGGTTTATGTGCGATTTAAAAGGACAAATCCTGGTCAAAAATGACTCCAAGGTTCCTCACAGCAGTACTGGAGGCCAGAGCTACGTATGTCATCTAGAGTAACTATGGTCAGACAGCTGATTTCTAAGGTTTTCAAGCCCAAGTACAATAGCTTCAGTTTCGTCAGAGTTTAGAAGCAAGAAATTACAGGTCATCCAGGCCTTTATGTCTTTAGGGCATGGTTGAAGTTTGAGACTAGGAGGGGATCATTGGTGACAGTTTCTGTACTATGATGGACTCTAAAACCAGACTGAAAATCCACAAACAAATCATTCCTATGCAAGTGATCACATGATTTCTTTGCAACATCTTTTTCAAGGATTTTAGAAATAAAGGGGAGACTGGATATCGGTCTGTAATTAGCTAGGACACCTGGGTCAAGAGTAGGCTTTTTGAGTTGAGGTTTAATTACAGCAACCTTAAAAGCCTATGAAACATAGCCTGTGAATCAGATCTAATATGGATGTGTTGATTAGGGATAAAACATCTTTGAGCAGCCTGGTCAGGATGGAGTCTAAGAAACATGCTGATGATTTAGATAAAGCAACTGTTGAGGTCAACTCAGAGATCTATGGGAGAGAAGCAGTCTAAATATAAACGAGGTCTTTCAGAGGTTTCTAAAGCCATTGGAGTTGATGACATCTGTGAGAGTTGGGGGAAGGATCTGATTATTTTTTTCTCCAACAGTTGATTTTATTTGTAAAGAAGCTCATGAAGTCATTACTGCTGAGATCTATGAATACTAACTAAGCACTGTGGCTCTTTGGGGATCTGTCCAAGTATTTATGCTTCTCTGTATTTGCATATCTATCATACTTGATTTACATAGCAACTCTAGTTACTATAAAACTACCTGCTTCAGTCTGTCATTTGACTGTGCTGTGTACAATCTTTTTCCTCCAATACATTACATTATTTACCCCAATGGTTATGATTTGATAACTAACTAACATTTGTTAGGTGTACCTATCTTCTCAAAGGGCAGACATTTCAAATATGAGTTGGTGTAATTACACTCTTCAGCAGTCTTCAGAGGCCCCAAATATTACAGCATAATTCAATAAATCCTTGCTGTCTCTTGCCAGCATTTATTGAAAAAGGCACAAACAATAAATAGCTCACTAAGATGCAAATGACTCGCTGGTGAATGATCAGAGCAGTAAACAATCTTTTTAGTGCTCCAATTAATATGCATTATCATGACAATCTCCGTTTCACTCATATCTAAACTGGATCAGCACATGTTTATTAGATTAAAAAGGCAGGGAGATGGCAGGGTTACTGGAGGGGGAAAAGAACAAGAGGGTGATGTGTGGTAGCTGATGAACGCAGATAGTGAAACAAATTCTAGATGGAAAAAAAGAAGCCTGTTTCAGTCCAGGTAACACAACACTGAAAATCTGGAGAGAAGCCCAGCCTCTATGATTCTGCCATAAAACAGTGAACAGTTCCACAGAGTTATGCCAGGGGGAAAATATGGCCCCACTTCAGGCCTGGTGGCAAAGTAGTTATGGTGCTTAATAAAAACACAGCTCTGTAATGGTGGGACACTCCATCTGACAGTACTAGCCAAAGTGGAGCTGTGTAACAAAGGGAGGCAGTCATGGAGTGAATGAAGTGAATCAGCGGGTGAGTATAACAAAACACATAAAGGGGCCTCTTGTGTACTGTCAAAGAGAGCAGTGAAGTGTGGGGTAAAGTTGGTACTATGTATGTGTGAGTCAGTGCGACTGTCCACAGTTAGTTCGGTTGAATAGGGAGAAAGGGAGACGGCATCTGTCTTGTTGTGTGTGAGAATGAAAGATCCCCCCCCAAAAAAAGGCTAGTGTTTGGAAATGGTTAAGTTGGAAAGTGAATGCTCAGTATTTAGAGCAGACAAAAGGACACGGGGGCACAAGATGAGTAAAGATCTTTGGAAGAATATCTAGCAAGGTCTGACTAAGAGAAGCAGGTGTGTTTGTACTGTAAGCTGAACAAAAAAGGTTGACTGAGTTCTAAATAAGAAAGCTGGTCTGACCTTGTCATGCAGGAGAAGTGGAGAGAGGTAGAATGAAACACACAAGCAGAGAGAAAGGTGAGGTGAAAACTGGCATGAATACAGAGAGAGTTCTCCATGCACCTTTTTGATGCGGGCGTAGTCAATGAGGCGGGCATAGGCGCTGGTGCCAGCAATGATGAGCCTGGGCCGGAACAGCTTGGCCGTCATCTCCATCTGGTCGTAGTCTATGAGTCCTGTTGCAGTCTGCAGAGAGGGAGACAGATTGAGCAGAGAAAGGAGAGGCAGAGCGAATGGAAAGAATAAAGAGGTAGTGGAGGAGGAATATGAGAGTATTAGAGGGAGAGTAAGGGTCAGGAAAAAAAAAGGAACATGAGGATAAAAAAAAGCTGTCAGATATCCTGAGGATTAAGAGCAAACATATCAACATGGAAGAGAGAGTTTTTTACATTTGAAGATCATTTGAAGCAGCTGCATTTGAAGCACTTTGGCTACTGTAAAAGGGGAAGGAATTTATCTAAGGGAGACATTTCAACCTATCACATCATAGAAGAAGATGAAGCAATTGCAGTAATGCACCCCTACTTATCCTAATTCAACCTTTCAGCGATCTACTCAACTGGTGTGATGAGGCTGAACAGATCAGAGGCTTGTTTGGAGACATTTCCTGATCTTTTCACTGAACTGAGCAATTTCAGAGACTTGTTAGACAATCCATTGTTCAGTGAGCACACTTCAGTCACATGAAATGGGGTCAGGCTGGACCAGTCAAACAAAGTGTGTTGTGTGCCTGATTCTCTAGTTTTATCTCCTCTCCCTCTCCTCCAAGCATCAGAAAAGAAAGACAATGCAGAAGAGAGAAAGAGAGCAGGTTGGAGGACAAAAAAACAAAGTGAGAGGCAAAAAAGGATGAAGAATAAGGGAGATCCAGAAAGAAAAAAAAAAAGAGAAAAGGGAGGAGAGGGAACTTTATTTAGACAACCTGATAATCTCCCATCTCCAGAGCACATCTATGGATGCCCCCTCACTCCATCAAGCTGCTCATTGTGAAGACAGAGCCAGTGCTGCTGGCCAGCCTGTCGATTTCCCATTATCTCTCTCGCAGAGGGGTCCTGCCTGCTCATACATCAGCAGGTCTGGACATGGAGACTCTCACGGCCATCAATCAGCTGCTACCAACACTATCACACAATTATGTCCCTAGGAAGAAAAGACACTGTTCATATCTACATGTTAACTCATCACATCCGGCCATGGTAGCACAAATCTTCATGTAGGTGGAAAGCTGCATATCACCTGTTTTATGGAGTTTACTGATAGATCTGTATAGTTACATTGTGAGGAGAGTGGCCATACATCAACAAAAACACTTGAGTTTAAGCTCTCTCTATCTGCAGGCAACTGCTGGGCGGATGTTTCCTTGAGTTAGAAAATCCCTACCCATGCTGCCTTGTGCCCTCCCTCTGGGGCAGGAAAGGAAACAGGATTTCTTAAAAGGGGATAATAGAGTTTTTACTCTCTTATTTCTTTCCAATTCAATTTCTTGTTATTTAACTGAAAGAGCTGATAAAGAATATTTACCTTTAAAAATTAAATATATTAGTGCTTGCTGAAGACTTGTAATGTCAAACACTGCAACAGAAGTAGCAGTTAAAACCTGCACAAGTTGTTCATTTTGTTCAAACTGGTGTGTTTTTTTGGCTAAACCTTCATAAAGGAAGGATTTACTGCAGGACGTCTGTATTAGACTGCATTGGCTTTAGTGTGGTATACCTAGTCAACCTCTAATTGAATGTGTATTAAGTACCGTAAAGTCCGAACTATAAGCCGCTACTTTTATAACAAGCTTTGAACCCAGCGGCTTAAACAACGATGCGGCTAATTTATGGATTTTTACGGGCTAACGAACTTCACGCCACCAATACATTCAGCCTCGTCACATCAGACCGATGAAATTAACGAACAGGTCACAGTGGACCAATGAAACTGTTCGAATGAAATCAAATGCACTCACACTAAATTCTTCAGATCAGTCATTTTGCGCTTCATGCACACACCCTTATCATGGAAAACACACAAAGAAATGCATATGATGCAGCTTTCAAGTTAAAGGTGATCGATCTGGCTGTCGAAGAAGGAAACAGAGCTGCTGTACATAAGCTTGGCATCAATGAATCGATGGTGAGACGATTTTGTTAACCAGCCCTGTTACAGGCACCGTTTAGAAAAAGCATTTATTTAATTAAAAGTTTAAAAAAAATCTGTGTAAATATCTCATGTTACAACGTGGACACCTGCGGCTTATACACAAGTGCGGCCTATATATGTACACTTTTTTTTCTTCTTCTTAAATTTAGTGGGTGCGGCTTATAGTCAGGTGCGCTCAATAGTCTGGATTTTACGGTATGTTAAAATATTATTTAACCTGCATCTGCCTCACAGCTTTGATAACATTATAACACGCTTTTATTGCAGTTGTCCAGTTCCGGTTGATTTTCCTCAGCATTATAAAAAAAGATGATGATCTACACTAATGTGTCTCTAAGACAGCCCCTACCCTGTCAGTTGATATCAGTAGTAGGGGTGTCCACTTACATTTAGCTTGTAGGGCATGGACTCAAAATAGATTGACGTTGCTGAGATCCTCTTCACATCAGACATGTAGCCGTGGGTCAGACTGGGGACACAAAAAGGAACATACAATATAAACAAATGTTAAAAAAAACAAACAAACGACAAGGACAAACACTATTTGAGTTCTGACTGAAAGAAATCTTTCAATCAAGCAATATACCAGTGTTGACCAGCACAGAAACTGCAGCAGGTTAGTGTGAGGGCAAGAGAAAATAAGTGACAAAGCAGAGAAAAAGAAAAAGATAGCTGCATTGATTACTCACTGTCCTCCATCGGGCAGGTCCAGGCCCATGATGCGGTCATGGGGGTTGAGCACGGCTGTGTAGGCAGCAAAGTTAGCAGGTGAGCCAGAGTATGGCTGGACGTTGACGCCCCACAGAGCTGGGTCCAGGTCGAAGGCCTCCAGGGCTCGCTTCTGACACAGTAACTCAATCTGGTCAACCACTTCTGCTCCACCATAGTATCTGTGAATGTAAGGATTAGTGGAGTTTAGGAGACAATCAAAAAGGAAACATGATCATCTATGAACGGAAAGAGACTCGTAGACTGTTTAACAGATGCATAACTCCAGCAAATAATCTGCTAGATTAAGGACATGTATAGGTTTTTAGTCAATTTCAGCAATACCCGATATGTTTCATACCTTTGGCACAAACTGCACTCTTGTTCACACAAATCTAGAGCAATCCAGATAAACGTTAACCTGACACATGATCTGGGACAATTCAGGTGAAAATGTTCAAACCTTTTCAGTGAAATTACAGATGAAGGAGCAACAGATGGCTACTGTACCAAGCACTCATTCAATGAGATCCTCCTTTCATTTCATTACAGTATAAAACAGCAGATGTGTAGGGGATAAAGTAAAAATTAAATATTAGTGGGAGGGACATTTGGGGTAGGCTTGCACTGCAGGAATCAAAGGCAGCAAATAAGGAGCATTTCAAAACATGTCAGCTCTGTTTGCTGCTGATAAATGTGAATTATTCAAAGGAAATGAGAAAACAGGAAAACTGAAAATAGAAAAAAAAAAACACAACTATCAACCTGGCACTAAATTCTTCCAATGTATCCCCTCAGGAATCTTCTTTGGCACGACAAAGGCTCGGGATTATTTGCCGTGTTGTTGGCATGTACAGCAAGCTAAAGAACACTGTATAAATCAGTGTGTGCCTATGTGTGTGTTCATTTGTGTCAATGTCAAATATCCTAAAGCAAAGAACATCAACAGTGTTAATACATGGGGTGGGGGTGCCTGAATAAATACATTCACCTTCTCCCTGGGTAGCCTTCAGAGTATTTGTTGTTCAGACAGGAGCCCAGAGCTTCCAGAGCTGCTTGACTGCAGAAATTCTGTGGTAGAAACACACACACACACACACACACACACTCAGATCAATGGCACGAATGGACAGACGGGACAAGGATGGCAAATTAAAGTCTGTTAAGTGATAGTGAGAAATCCCCCTCTGGCTAAAGGCAATGATTACAGTATCGAACCTCTGTTCTTCCATAGACTAACACTCTGCACTTCACAATGCTTATCGTCTCGCTGCTGGAGGATACAAGATAATGTAATAAACTCTTTGCACATGCTGAGATACATTCGTGTGTCCTTTAAAATCATTTGCTTTCCATGTGTCTTCCAAAAGAAACACGTTTGTGAGTATGATTTGCTGCAAATAGTTGCCTTTAGATCTTGTCCATGTGCATGAAAATGATTAGCCTGATTTCAGCACACTTATTCCTGGGATTTATTTTAATTGTACCATACTACAGACAGGTGACAAATTAAGGGGAAAACCTGAATAAAGGCATGGATAAAGGCTACAAATCCAGATGCTGCCATGTTTGGAGTCCATTTGTCTCTTTACAGGGAAGGGTCACTGCAAATCAATACAAAGTTGTTTTGAGTTATCACCTTTATCCTATGATGAAACATTTCTATTCTGATTGGAGCAGACTCTTCCAGGATGACATTGCCTCCATCCATAGAGCACGAGGGGCACCAAATGAGGGAATATCTTTTGGAAGAACTGTGTTCATTCCTCCAGTAGAGTCCAGAGACCTGTACCAATCAATGCCAAAGTGCACTGAAGCTGTTCTAGCAGCAAGTCGTGGCCCAACGTCTTGATTATTAAGTTGCTTCTACAAATTTTAAAATAAGCTTATTCAAACCTGATGTGCAGCATTATTTATATGGGAAAATTCACTGAAATTGAAAACAAAAAACATAAGTTAGCACACTGGACTACTTGTTGATGTTATCTTGTAGTAACTGACACTGGGCTATACAAATATACTTGACTCAAAAACCTGTTACAAATGTGTGCAGTCCTGACTGTGTAAGTGATGATGAACACCACCTTTGGCGTGGCCTCATGACACAACACACTGTGTATTATCACACTGCCAAGTAATGGGGTCTGACACAAAACATACAAACACATACAATCTCCACTCTCTCCGTTGTTGGTACTGGTGGTGTATGTGTTGTGTGTGGTTATGCTAATGCTTCACCAGCAAAAGCCAAGAGGAGATCAAGGGAGATAACAGCTCCAGTAACATCTTTCTGCCGCATCCGTCTGTCACGTCAACAACTGTGCACATTTTAGAAAAGCAAATGCATTTGCTTCCCAATGTTTCAAAGTGTGTGGGGGAAATGTGTGTATTTTTCAGTCAAGGAAATGCCTTTCTGAGCTGTACTGCGATGTGCTTGGCAGTGTTCGGTAGGGAGGAGGCAGAATGAAGACATCAGCATTATCTCACACTAGAGCGGTCAGGCTTTGTGTTGAGAGGGGGCTGATATACGCCACTGAGCAACTACTGTGGCGAAGAAGAAACAGGCGAAGAGAGAAACACCAATACAAGGGGAAACCCCGTCTACTCGTTTGAATAGTAAAATTTTCCATTTCACACCATCCAGCCTCAGAATAAAAACACTTAGCCAAATGTTTCTGTAACAACTGAGCTATTCTTGCTTACAGTGAGCACTGTTTCACTATTAGTGCTATAGAAGCCAAGTCTGAACAGCTTACAACACACTGTGCACTGTTGGTCAGTAGAAAATTAATGAATGAGTAGTGAGGGCATTAACACTTGTTACACTTCATCTGTTTTTTCCATTTGTATGTTTGAGCGTGAAGCTAATCTATTCATTCAAGTTCACATTAATTGTCTCTCACCACAAAACCGTATAGGATGCGTCTTTATATTCTGTTAAAGGCAGACTAACAATATTTTGTGTTGTAACTCAAACTATCTGCCAGCATGTCAGTTCCATGATAACATGTTTACAGGCACTAACCAAATGATGTCCTTCACTGATGACCCAAGAGGTTCAAGTACATGTCCTTCCATCCAATGTGAACTAAATATTAACTTTTACAAATGGGGTCTGAAAGAGTTCTGAATATTTTGATATCACCCACTAAAGTAAGAAAAAACTATTTTAAACTATATTGTGTAACAAAAAAATAATGAATCTAGCCTTTTCTAATCATGTGGATAACAATTTATCTTTATAATTATTATAGATTTGCCCGACAGCCTGACACCAATAGAATCTACAGTAATGAACCATCAAACCTGAACCCTGGACAGTTGCTGAGGTTGTACTTTGTTTTATTTTGTGACTGCTCTGTGATATTCATTAACTCTATCCTCAATCATGCCGCGTTGGGAGGGCTGTTCTGTAGCTGCAGTAGCCTGTGGAAGCTAAAGTAAAAGCAACACAGTAAAAATAATAGTCTACTTTTCTATGAATATCAATAAATTCAACCACAACAACTAGTGTTAGGCTGAGGCGAGCACTCGTCCTTCTCAAGTTATCAACAGTAACACATGTTCTTTATGGCCGTGTTTGTATACGACAGCATTTTTTCCCCTTTCTTCCAAACCTTATTGATAGATTACATAACACATAACACACTACAACAGTGTGCTAAGTTAATACAAGTTCGTATTCATCTTTAATTTTGGCGACGTGTATTGATAGAAGGGTCAAAGAGAATGTGAATGACAGGTTTGATAAGGGATGCATGAAGATTCACGAAGCCAGGTATTTATCGTACCAACTTGAAACCGGATCCCAAACAGAACCGGCTACTGAAACCAATCCCTAGTAACTCCTGGCATCCTACATATGCTTAAAATCAGGTTTGAGAAATGTTTTCCCCAGGACTGGTCCACTCCGCACTGTAAACTGTTCAACTAAGACAATGGTCCAAAACAGTCAAACAAAACTATATAAACAAAAAAGCTAATGTTTAAAAGTTGTTTTACCTCAGATGCGATGAGCTCCAAGCCACGGCACTGCCTGTCCTTCTCTTTCCGCAGCAGATCCCACATCTCGGGGTCATCCTGAGCCAGGCTCTCCTGGCCCGTCCATGGACGATCTTCATCCATTGTACGGGTAGCGGTGTGGGACTGCTGCCTACGTACAGCAAGACGAACTGGGGCTCGCTGGCACAGCGGCTTGGGCAGAAACAAGGTTGAAGAGTTTCAGGGTTTGATGAAATAAAGGGGACAACAGTAACTGTTGCAGCCGCAGGACTTTTGGTGTCATTGGGAACAGTTACCAAGATAAGAAGCAATTTTTTTACAAGTGTAAAGAGTAACCAGCACATAACAAGAAACAGGTCACAAAGAACATAAATTCCTACAGATTGTATTGGATCAATTTACTATACACATTTGAAGTGACACCCTGATTTGCCTTATATAAATAATGACATTTCCTTTCCACTCCTTTGTTCCTCACACACTAATACAGTATGCAGTCTGGTGTGTGTAATTAGAAGTTGGCATGTTTGCATGGTATCAATAATCAGCATGGTTGTTCAATTATGCCTCTGTCAGCACTTCTACAAAATGAGGGGCTGACTTTTACAGCCTCAGTGTACTAAAAGAGGCATATAGAAAACAGATTCAGCACTTCCTGCTTATCTAATCTGGACTGGGGCTGGCCAGTTCTGCTGCTGCTGCTGCTGCTGCTGCTGCACTGCCTGATCATTTGAGTCTGCAGAGTCTATACACTTTTCAATGACTGTCTCTTTTTTGGCCAAGTTAAACATGAATCCTATGTCGAGTTTGATCCTGGTTTTTCATTGCAGTATGTCTGTGATGGTTTTTTTTTTTTAAATAATACATTTGTGGCTTGATATTACATACAGTAGATGCTTTGCATCGATAAAAAAAAACTTCTAAACACACCAAAATATTGTCATGTATTAAAGCTGTACAGTACGAATGACCTTCAGTGTACAAGTCCCTTTAATAAACTCCACTTAACATGTTAAAAAATCCTAGACAGGTTGATTGCACTCAAAACAAATTGACTCTACTGTCATTTAATCAACAATATGATTATGACTGTGTTGAGATTAATCCCACCACTGCCAACCTATAGTTATCATCTGTTCAGGTGTGCAGTGTGCTGGGGTGTGAGGGACAACCTCCCTTTAATAGCACCATTAAAAAGCTATTAACACAATGCCCAGGACTGGCTGGAAAAAAAAAATATAAGCAATTTATGCTTATTCCAGGTTGTGTTAAAAATGTTTATGTACTTAATCTTTTGTACTGGCTTTATTGCACTGTAAATCTAACAATGAAACTAACTAAGTGGTTTTAAGACAAATTAATTAATGCTTATGTTGGGAAGAAATAATAAAAGCTACACTAAATGGGGATTCATCTCCAAATTTCTTTAAGATCAAACATTGTCTTGCAGTTTGATATGCTTTGTATTCAAAAAGTTAAGAACCTTTTTGTTCATAAGCAGCTTAAAATTTGTTTATCTGCTCCATTTCAGTCTGTCCCATCCTCTCTACACCACCTCTGCTCCCTAGAGTGGCACAAAGGACAGTTGAGACCGACCAGGGGAGGCAACTGGCACATTAATAGCCAATTTCTAACTGTCTCTACCCCGGCCTTCTGTCATTGGTGGCACTGGTGATGGTGGAAAGGGGGAGAGGGCCCCTCCGCAGGGTTCTGGAAGAGACAAAAGCCTGGGGAGACAGGCTGGGTTGCCTCAAAGGACACATTTCTCACAGAGAAATCACACGGGCCATTAAATCTTGACGGGAACTGTCCTTTGCTGTCTGCGTTTCCGCTGGGTCACACCAGGGCCAGGGAACACAGTGGCAGAAAAACCCAACACAAGCAAACACTGTCATCGTTATAGCACAACTGACAACTGCAAAACAGCCAAGGGTGCCTCTCCCTCCTCACCTCCACCCTCATCCCTGCTTTCCTTTGCCCATCTTCCTGCTTCCGTCGTTAGTCCACACTGCTAAGCATGCTCAGCCAAGTAGCACTTCCGTGCTGCATTTATTAGTTCATCTTGTCATCGGTATCACTCCAATGGCATCCAAACGGGACAGCTATGGGCCTCAACACAAACATGGGTCAGTAACTGTGGTCTACCTCTTTGCTTACCTGTCTCATTCCACAGCATCCTTACAGGAGGTTAATTAATAAACACAAACCGATCCAACAAAAGTGACAGCCAAGATACAAGCACCAAATATGTCACTGTGGGTCTATTTTTAGACAACAGATTACACTGTCGTTTGAAGGTGAACTTGATGAAAACTCTGCTGTGAGAAAAGGGGGCGAGGTAGGCCACATCAACGTGGGTGCCAAATGCAAAATAATGGCAGAGTCACAGATGCACTGTATCTGCGTGACATTGATAAGGCAGTTGTTGGCAGTCTCCCTTTCCTGTCAAACATCTGTGCTCAAAGAACAATGGCAGAGAAGAAGGGAAGAAAGAAAATCATTTCATTAATCCAAGGTCTGTATTATTTTTGCCCATTTCCTGAAGCATCTCCCAAGGCGAGTCAATTTTACAGATGACTGCTGTCCATCAGTGGCTATACCAAATAACAATCAGTCTAGTAACACACAAAAAACAGAAGGGACTAGAGAGGAGAAACTATGAAGGAAAAAAAAAGATGTAAGGTAGAAGAGAAGAAGTGTCAACAGGGCAACAGCATCGGTCAGTCTGACACTCCGTTGCCTCTTTCCTTTTTTTTTGGCTGTCTGTTACAAATTGCCCTGTGATTCAGTCTCAATGACACCAGACAGAAATCTGGATGGGGTGAAGAGGCGTGAAGGGACGGAGGCAGAATCCAGGATGACTGCACTCTATCTGGGTCAAAGGGTTGTCAGGGTGATGTCAGCAACAAAGCCAATCTTCAGGAGGCAGTAGAACAATATATTTATGCTAGAATCTTTCCACAATACTTCTTGTAGAAAAGAAGATGGTGAAAGACTTCCTGATGCCTCAGTGAGTCAAGATGTATGCTATGGTATACATGTCACACTGCTGAGGTCAAGCCTGGCTCATGGACTTTCATGCACATGTGCCCACAACCCTCTCATTGTCCCTGTTGTAACGGTCAAAGAAGGAGTTACGTGTGTTTGGTTATCATTTGAGTAATTTTAGAGTAATAACTTGATTTTCTTCTTGTTACTAGTTTGTTTTTTCTCCTCAGGTTTAAGCCTGCATACTGAATGCTCTGTGTGTGTGTGTGTGAGACTTGACCCATATTCTCTTATACTGTATATTTAAAGTACCTCATGCTCTGAGCCAAATCAGTGTGCACCCATCAGAGTAGGATAATAGATCATTTGATGTGTACTAATAAAAGACATTTGTTCAGTTTCTCATTCTTTTAAGTTCATTAAAGCTGCTTGCCACCACAACTGTCAAATCCACAAAATACAAAAACATGCTGTACTTGGGATTTCATGCATTGTAAAATTTTGTTGGGCTAATATGAGCCACCTAAATACAAAGTTATTTTATAATTAATTATTCTTTTCAACATTCGAATTATTCTATCAGCAGTAAAAGGAGAGAGAATCGGGTTCTGTTGGTTTTCAATTCACTATAAAGCCAAAAAATATGGGCAAGGCTGTCTGGCAGGTGTGGCTACAACTGGCATGTATTTACATTATCAATACTAATTTGCTGATTAATTTCCTGATTTATTTATGTTTTATAAACTATCAAAAACTAGTGAAAAGTCCTAGTAACATTTTCCAGAGCCCACTGCAACATTTTAAAATAGTTAATTTTCTATTTTTTTTTTTTTTTTACATCCTCATTTTTATAAAACTGGAACCAGCACTTGTGGCAAGAAGTAAAAACTGGCCTTTTCTACATACATGCACATGTTTTCTTTGGATGCAGTGAACTTTTTTTTAAGTTTTATGTTTATAGAGATGTACAGTGCCTTGCGAAAGTATTCGGCCCCCTTGAACTTTGCGACCTTTTGCCACATTTCAGGCTTCAAACATAAAGATATAAAACTGTAATTTTTTGTGAAGAATCAACAACAAGTGGGACACAATCATGAAGTGGAACGAAATTTATTGGATATTTCAAACTTTTTTAACAAATAAAAAACTGAAAAATTGGGCGTGCAAAATTATTCAGCCCCCTTAAGTTAATACTTTGTAGCGGCCAACACAAACTAGACTTTTTCAGTAATTTGTTGCTTTGCTTTCCTTCATCAAAAGGACCTAAACAATTGTTAACCTCAGCTCGAAAATGATTTTCAGAACTCAAAGATCTCCGGTACAGCCTAACACTAAACAATTCCTCATGATCTGCCTCTGCAGGGGTACTAATGCCATCGGAGCCACACTGTATAAAACAAATACATGAAACGATCGATTTAATTCATGTAGACTGATGAATGCACTTTTGACTGTTTTGGCATTTTGTGATGTGACTTTGTGGTGTTGGGTGCCTTTAATCCTTGTGTATTTCATCTCACTCCAACAGTGTGTGAATACATTTTATATACTTCTGTTTGCAGGAGTGTGTGTGTGTGACAGACAAATAACATATGTACAATAGGTCAGAACAAAACTATCTGCCCAGTTAATGTAATTGTAATATGATCGTTAAATTGGCTCATGGATAGATGTTAAAACGAACCACCCTGTTGTTTATCTGTATTCAATGGCCCGTGAGTCAAAATTCACACCTAAAGTCATTCAAATGAATCATCATTAGCGTGGAAGGAAAATACTTAAACAAGTCTCACTCATCCACTAACATGAAGGACAGGGAAGATGGTTCAAATTGATGGGAAGATGGATGGAGCCAAATACAGGACCATTCTGGAAGGAAACCTGATGGAGTCTGCAAAAGACCTGAGACTGGGACGGAGATTTGTCTTCCAACAAGACAATGATCCAAAACATAAAGCAAAATCTACAATGGAATGGTTCACAAATAAACATATCCAGGTGTTAGAATGGCCAAGTCAAAGTCCAGACCTGAATCCAATCGAGAATCTGTGGAAAGAACTGAAAACTGCTGTTCACAAACGCTCTCCATCCAACCTCACTGAGCTCGAGCTGTTTTGCAAGGAGGCATGGGCAAAAATTTCAGTCTCTCGATGTGCAAAACTGATAGAGACATACCCCAAGCGATTTACAGCTGTAATCGCAGCAAAAGGTGGCGCTACAACGTATTAACTTAAGGGGGTTGAATAATTTTGCACGCCCAATTTTTCAGTTTTTTATTTGTTAAAAAAGTTTGACATATCCAATAAATTTCGTTCCACTTCATGATTGTGTCCCACTTGTTGTTGATTCTTCACAACAAATTACAGTTTTATATCTTTATGTTTGAAGCCTGAAATGTGGCAAAAGGTCGCAAAGTTCAAGGGGGCCGAATACTTTCGCAAGGCACTGTAAGTAAACTAAAACAAAAAGGATCAGAACATGTATGAAGTACATGCAGTAGTAGTGTGAGGTATCCCAAGACACTGGCACATGTTTGTTTGATGTGTGTTTAGGCTGGTTTTGACATGAGGCACTCTTGAAATTTTGAAGGTAGTGGCAGTCATCTTTCATGGAATAACTGTAGTTCCAAGCAACTTATCAACTTTACTATGGAGGGAAAAACTGAAACAATGAAACAGGGCTGACAAACTCTTCTAAACACCAGTAGTTAAAAAAAAGTTCCTGATGGATGTAGCGATGTACAGCAGTGGACTATATGCTCTCTGATATTCTCACCTGGTTGAACTGAATCCTAACCCATTCTCTGTTCGTTCATTCCTCAGATGTCTCACAGAGCAGAGATGTAAAAAAAAAAAAAAAAACTGCTAAAAATGTGAAAATTATAAACACTACATACTGTGATAGCGACACTCAATTTTTTTGCACTCAACTTCACAAGTTCCTCTAAGGTTCAAAAGTGTCTGGATGCTTTCCTATTATTACACACCGAAGCACTTCATAAAAAACTGGTGAGCAGTGATGCTGAATTTACAAGCTTAACAGGGCTAATTTGAATCCCTACAATTCAAACACAATCTCTGCTGGAACTAATTTCTTCCTATAAAACAGAGTCAAAAAAGCACTTGAAACAAACAAACAAAAAAGAATAAATGAATAATTAAACAAAAAGTTGAGTCTCCCCTGGCATTAGCAGTCTTTATGGACCAAGCCAGCAACAACAAATAACTGCACAAGAACTGAAATCTTTCACACAGATCCTGTGAGGACACCACATGCCTGGACCAGTAAAGAAAACAAACTTGTGAGCTCATCAAAAATTCAGTGAAGAAATATACTCAACCAATTATCAGCAACGGGAAAAGCATACCAGCATGTGACCCAGTCATTTTAATGACCTGAATACATGCCACAATCTTGGCATAGCCCAGTTGCTTCTGAGAGACCACATAAATTCACTCTCTCTAAATTAGGTCACTTCAAAAAGTTCAAAATCAAGCTATTAATAGCCCTCAACCATCACCAATTAATTAATAAAATAACTTCCTGATTTAAAAACCTAACAAATTATGAATCTTTCTAAAAACTTATAATCTGACATCACTAGGAACTATTCAGTCACTCAAATTATACTTACTGCAACAGGGAAAGTGATTTCTATAACAAGAGAACCCGACAGATTGCACAGTATATCCGTCCTGTAATTAATTTTACACTTCTGTAAAACGACTGAGAAAGTATTGATTAGGGGTGTGACAAGATATCGCGAGACAGCTTTTACCACAACGAGAAATACGGTTATGTTTTAATAACGCGTTATCTTATACAATATTTATCTTTTGTGTTAAGACCTTTCTCGCGATATCAGTACATAACTGAGCCAGGCCAGTATAGCGAAGTGTGACCATACGTTAGTCCAGCAAAAACGCCACTCCCTGCCCTACCTTATCACCAATTCTGCATTAGCTCCTTCCCATACTGGACGAAAATAGAACTACAGTATCTCAAAAGTAGGGGATTAATATTTGCTTTGTAGTTAAGCTCGTCTGTTAACTTTTTCTTGCATTATCTTCATAGCCTACAGTTAAAGCGAGGCTTTTAACTTGAATTTTTAAAAAAGCATGCGCAATGTTTAGGTTTATGTTAACTATCTAAACAACTAAAACAGCAGTGTTTAACTTGCATGGATATGCTAAATAACGTTAGGCTAAACTAAGGGTGGCAGCTAATTTTCCCGTGATACAGCACAACATAATGACTTGTGTTGTTGACTTGTTGTTTGCAGTTTTCCCCATGATGAAACTAAGCAGTCGCTGTTGCATCATCACTTGGCTGCAGCTACTGTACGTGATATTCACCGACAGCTAGCCTGCCAGCTGATGAGCAAATTAACAGCAAGCTTTTAAAAATGCAATGTGAACAGCAGAAAAAGCACAACCTGCGGTAAATGTTGCAATTACGATGACAACTGCACGCCTTGCTCAAGGGAGGATGGGCAGCTTAAACCCCTCCAGGTCTAAAGTACTCACCACTGACTTCGTGCTAGGATTAGCTAACAGTTTAACCGTACAGATACAGCAGCTAAATGACAGGACTGAAATGCACAGTCAAAGCAACAATGACACAACAATTGTACATGATGAAACACTTACCCGTGTGAGTTGTCTGAGAGCGAGGGACAACATGTTTCCAGCTGACAGGCTAGAATGAAAAGGCAGTACAGCCAGGCGACACAGACAGGTTCCAAAAAGGTAGTTTGAACTTGCTGGCAATGGCTGGTTACGCATTTCCTGCCGAAAAGGTTGCTGGGAATCGTAGGCCATTGTGGAAAAAAAAATTACACAAGCCAGCCCCACAATATCCACTACAACTATACCATTCACTTTGTACTCATTCATTTTCTATATTCACTCATTTCATTTTAAGGCTCACAGAGTTTCTGAGCCTTATATAGACTCAATTAAATGAAAGCATATCTCATTCATCTATTATTCTGTTAAAATACACACATAGGCTACAGTAGCCCAACATCTTACATTCTTAGTAGCCAGTTATGTTCAAGTTTAAAGTCAGCTGGCAATTATCTATGACAGTTCTGAGTGCAGACTATACCTCTCAACTCCTATAAACAAAACATTTCAAGCAAACCTATACTGCAGCTTTTTTATTTTACTATACTACTGTTCAAAATATGTAAAATGATCATTTCATCAAATTTGCCTATATTAAACCAATTTAAAAATGACTAAATAAGCAGACTCCTAAGGTGTGACTCCTAAGTCATCTGGTAATTCCTCTCAGAGTTTGAGATGTCTGTTGTGAATCAGGTGTCCTTTGCGTCGATCAACATGTGGAACTCTTCACCCACAGAACTCAAACTGAATCAAGACTGGGATTATGTTAAACACAAATTGAGACTGTTTTAAAAGAGGGATCAGTCGTGTAGTCATCAATGATCTGGTGCTTGTTGTTTTATGGTATTTTTGTATTATTATTGCACATAGTTTGTGGTCTGTGTTGTTCTGTAGGTATTTGATAATTGGGTTTTAAGGACAGTAAAGCCCTTCTTAAGACAGACAACAAATGTTCACATAAACAAATTTGGCTTTTAAAAGTGTAATAAATTGTTCATACATGTAGACATAAAAACTATATTAACAGCTTTGTGGGTAAGGGAGGTCACTGTGTCTATTTTATTAGTCAGGTTTAACTGATTTAGGCACTCCTGCTGCACAGAAAACAGTTGACTACTTGAATCTCAGCATCTGATGCTTCCTTTGGAGAGTCTGAATGCTTTCTCCTGTTGCTGTATGTGCCTCTCAAAACATCATAAGACAAATCAGCTTGAGTGTGTCAGTAAATACAAATAGCCTTAGTGTCTCTTTGCTTATCTGAAACATATCTGTATGTCTCTATTTAAACTGGCTGCCAGGGCATGGTGCTTTTTTGCTTTCTGTGTAATAAATGCTGATATAGGCAATGTGTCCTCTTGTCCCCCAGTTAAAATGCAGTAAGTATCTTGGTGGACTAAGGGTTAAGGTGCTGACCAGGAACTACAATGTGACCATGTGTGTACAGTGTGGTGCTTGTAGTTCACCAGTTCTCTCTTTCACCCAACTCACTTAATTTCCTGTCATCTCTTTGCTGTGAACTTACTAATAAAGGCATAGAATGCCCAAAACATACCTAAATCAAATAATAATTAGAATCTGGTTTAGGAACAATGGATGACAAAAAGTTTTTGACAGGCATGAAAACCTTTGACAGTTACGGAATGTGTCACTGTCAACTACTGTGTGCTTTCTGTTTTGTTTTGTTTTTTCCCAGAAGGGTGCAGGAGATATAGGGGCTCACTTAAAGCAAATGTGTAATCTCAATGAATTTACATGTCATAATTTGGTATGTGTCAAAGTACTGTATTGCTGGTATGTTTGTATATGTACATTTCCAAATTTCCGAAATACTGCTCTTATGAGACTCCACTTCCACTGTCTAGGGTATTACAGTCACCACGTGATCACTGTGTCAAATTACAAGTATTACAGTCTTAATGTAAACAATGTCTTACTGTTGTTTTTTTCTTTAATAGTTTATTAGATGTGTATATTTTTTAAAATTCTGGGAAACATACCTGGACAAACACACACAGGCATACAATAACAATAATCAAAATCATCCACACATATGCAAACTCACACAAACATGCAATCACATGTACATAAGGATCCACTGTGGTAAAAAAAGGGGGGGGGGGGGCACTATCTGGGTTGCACTGACTCTATCAATCTTTGTGTCCCAACTGTCTACAGCACCCTGTGTAAGATACATGGACCTCAATCTCAATGTCATTGATCAAGGGCATAATATGGTATTGAGCCAGAATGAGATTCAGCTGGCATTGACTGTGTGTTTTCTAATGAAATTCTGAGCACCACTGTCGGGTCAAACGTGTGGAGAGCAAAGAGCCGATAACTACTCTTAAAGAGAAAAAAGGAAGTCTGTGAACAAGGAAGCAAGAAAAGACATATGAGAAAGCCTGAAGTTGGCTGAGTGTTCGAGGTGTGTTTGTTTAATTTAATCAAGGAGAAGGCGGTTGAAGTTAGCTCTCATTTTTACCCTGTAATCGACATGCATGAATATTTTTTCCCAGTGGTGGTTCTATCCTGCTTCATTTTCCCATAATATCATATTTTTATCATAAAGAAAGCAAGACAATACAAATATTATTAGGGAGCTGAGATTATAACCATGGCAGCAGTAATACAGCAGTCAATAAAATGTGAGGAAGCCACCTGGAGGTTTAGGTGCGACTGAAAAAAAATGTTTGCTCAGGTGTGCAATACTTCCTTCACTTGATCACAGAAACAGAAATCTGTCATGTTACTTCCAATACAATAGTTATTTTTCTTTTCAGTTTCGGGATATGTAATTAAAAATCATATTGGATGCTTCCTATGGAGTGTATTACTGTACATACCAACTTCCTTAGTGGGAGTCAGATTTTATCATCAACTTATTAAGAATGTTTCAGTTTGTTTTCATTTTAAGTCGTAACCAACTTTCCTTCAAGATATTTTAGAAAATTAAAATTACATATCTTCACAGAGAGTTTGGGCATAAACTCCTAATCAGAGTGAAAAGTAACTTCATTTAAAATAGTGTTCTTACTGAGTTAGATAACATGCAATTATGCTTCTGGCTCTGACTGAACACATTCACCCAGTAAAAGACAGACAGTTTAGGAGACTTTAATGTGCTTTTTCATACAGTATATTGTATGCATATCCAGCATAGCATTTCTCATACATATAACTCTCTTATATCCAGGATTTGAACAGTCAGTCTACCATAACATTTTATCTGCCATACAGTGATGGCACAGCACAGCTGCATACTGTAAGAGGCTCACTTTGTTCTTGAATGGCATAATACTGATTCAAAATTCTTTCAACTGAATTCTCCAACTGCAAAAAGTAATAACACTGACAAACAAATATCTAAAAACAATAAAGAGATAAAATACATTATTTACAGAAAAAAACAAATTAAAACAGAAGTTAACAGATACAAAGTTGGAAAATAAGTCAGAGAAATCAGCCATATCTTAACCATTCATAACTCTGATTATACTTGATTTATATCCACAATTCACAGCAGTTTAGAGGCAAAAAAACTGTCCCCTGCATCTTTAGCATCATTGACATGACTGTCCTTTCCATCAGTATCATTATTGTCATCATTGTCGTCATCATTAACATTGTGTCTTTGTTCTATCACTTATTTATCCAAAATAAGGGTGCTCACTTTGGAAGTTGTAGTCCGGACACACTTTTTGAACCAGCTTGTAATCGATGCTAAAGAAAGAGATGAAGATGCAGATCACTTTGAAGGGCTTGGCACAGAGCCAAGCAGCGTGGGACTGGGTGTGCTCTGTGAAGCAGGTTTGAGATGGATCATACAGGCAGGGTTTGGGCTTCTTGGATCTGTTGGTTTTCTCATACTCCACCCGACAATTAAAGGTCTTTGTCTCTTTGGGGTCAGTGGTGGATTGCTGGGTCTCCTGGATTAGGATGTCCTGCTGCATGTGGGGGTGTAGCTGCTGCTGGACCTCAAACTCCACCACTTTGGTTGGTGGCACGATACTGACTGACACATTCCCCAGACTGGATGAGTTGTGGCGGAAGTAAACAGTGAATGTCCCATTGATGTGGTCCACGATCTTCCCTGTCACTAGCAAGCTAAACTTCATGGTCTTGACATTGAAGTAGAAGTCTCCCCAGCCAAATATCTTCTTGGTCTTCATGGCTGTCTTAAGTGAGGGCTTGCGCTTAGAGCGGTAGCCTGTCTGGTCCAGGAGCAGGGACTGGTTTCGGGCGGAGTCGTACGGGTTAAAGAAATTGTAGGTTGGTAGTTTGGATTTCATGGGGGTCTGATCAATGGAAGTGGAGAAGATACGGGTTTGATATGGAGGCTTAACAACTCCACCTGTCATTCCTCCAACTGTGCCTCCGCCCATGCCATATGGAAGAGTCTTCATCACTGAATCCACTGGTCCTAGGTCTGAGAAATCCACATGCTTCTCCAACCCTTGGACCTGGAGAGGAAAGAAACAGAAAGAAGAACAAACCTTTACTGACAACCTGCTAAAGGCCCAACATGCTACATTTATTTTTTCTCATAACCTTTAATAGCATCAGTGGTTTCAGCAAATGCCCCAAAACAACATGCCGAAATGACAAACCTGTAAAAATTTAAACTCTTTTCCACTGGGAACAAATAAGGGAAAACAGTGGATATGCTTATGGAACCACAGAAGGAGGAGGTCAGGGTGCATGCAGGGGTCAATTCTAAATTTAGTTGAGGGAAACTAATTTGGGGTTAAAATCTCCTTTAACACAAACAGTGTCTGTCTAAAATCAGCCACAGTGCAACATCCATGAAGCAGCATCTTGCTCAGTGGCACTTAACAGAAACAGTGGGCACCCTAAAGTGCATGTAATACCAGACTTTACCTGTTGCTAACTTGAAGCTGAGATACAATTAGCTGTCAGTACTGGGACCATCACTTTGTGGCTGATCTCTTTACCTCCAGGTCATACTGAAGAGATCATAAACACCAATTTAACCAGAAATCTACTCTAAGTCCTGTTCAGCCATGAAACAATTTGGACAAAAACATACATACAAAAAAGTATAGTGTTCCTTTTCATTGTACCCACATTATAATCTAAAATGCTTTATATTGTAGGTGACTCTTCTGCAGAGATCTTTTTTTTTTTAACCTCACATGATTTTTATTTCTGCATAGTTGTTAGATGTTTTGTTTCATCTCCTGAATCCAAGAAAACAAAACCATCTATTTCTGTTAACACACTTTAATTGTGTTGTCAGTGTTGCTCCAGAGAGCAAAACAACTCTGCATGGAAGGTAATGGATGTGAGCCTTTGTTTGTTCAGACAGCTTTCTTCCTTTAATCCACAGCCTAGGTGGTTATTCACAGGACTGACTGACTGGAAATCTTCCTCTGCTCTCTTTCATGTTTCATCAATCACATCGTGCTCCTATCCATATGCATATACGATATGTTCACATACACACACAAGCATAAAGACACATTCGCACAACATACAGACTTCAGCCTTGAAGCTATCATCAAGTGACAGGGAGAAGTATTACAACCCTTTGGAGGGGTTACATGTACTTCCCCTGAGGATGCATTTGGATGGAATTTAGAACTATTCTCCTAGTGGATAAATAATACAAAGAATAAATGAAAACAGCATTTCATAACAAGTACAGGATCAGATCTTTGCGCCTACTCATGCAAGAATGGTTTCTGTCTCCCTTCATTCTTGTCTAAGGCACTGAAACTGACAGGTTTGTGCCAAATCTCTCCTCATCTCCCATAAATCACGAAACCTAATAACAACTCCATATTGCTATTTGTAGAGGCAGCAGTGCAGCACTCAATACAGTATAATAATGTATTCAGTCATTCAATTAATGTATCTATTTCGGTTGGCTATTCATTAACGTGCCTGTAGAGCTGATTTCTAAGTAGATTGATTGAGGAGAAAATAATGGAAAGTTTATTGACCACTGAAAGGATTAATTTCTAAAAAAAAGAATGTTGTGGACAAATGACCAGTGACTGGAATAATGACCCACTAAAGATTTTTAACAAACACTGACTCCCTTTGGTTTCATGAGAGGAGGCCTGTGCAGTGGTCTCGCAAATTAAAGTTTGTGAATTGGTGATGTGAGCTGACTTTGGCATTGACAGGTAGGAATAAGTTATAGTTGATGGCAGAAAAACATCAGAATATGTACAGCAACAAACAGTGTGAATGGTGCAAGCAAGATGGGACTTCAACGAATGCACTGTCAGCAGTGCTGTCAGCTCGCTCCATGTGTTGCCATCTGTCATGCTAACACTCTGCTGGTGCAGTCCTAATCATTTCTCTAGCTGATGGCACAGGACTCGAACTAGCACCATCATCATAATCCTTAACCATCTTCAGGAACAACATCACACCATGAACCTTCAGGGTCAAGTGTATGAAACTCAGAAATGATTTTATGCTGGGGTCTTTCAGAGGAGGAAAATGCAACTGTACACAGTCAGCAACTTTGACAAACATCGATTGAGTGCAAAAAGATGAGTATGGTGAGAGGGCTTCTTCTTTTGTGTCACGAAAGTAATAAAATGCCAACAAAAACCAATAAATAGATGGACTTTCTATTAGCATAAATATGAACCTTTTTTGCGCTTGACAGTAAATCCATTTAAAAGGTGAGGATTTGTTAGAAGAAATATCAAATATTTTCTCTTGACATGAAATCCATAAGCTATAGACTTTTTGCAAAACAGTGGATGTTTCCTATAAGGTCATACAGGCTGTTGCATCTACCAACAGATTGATGGTTTGAAATATACAGCTTCACACTTTTCTTCCTCCTGAGCCTCTTTTCAGTTAGGTTACAATGAGTGAGAAGTGTTTTAGAGCAATAGCCAGGGGGGTGTTGTTGGGGTGATGAAGAGGTGATGAGTTGCACACACACAAGCAAAGACACGCAGCAGACACAATACATTTACACACTGAGAAACTCAAATGCTTGGTTACAGCATGCACCAGTTGGTGGATGGTGTTCTGCAAAGCACATTTTAGTCCCATACAAGCTTGTACTTAGTTCACATCACTTACTTTAGTGTAGGTTTAAGGGTGTGGGAAAATTTCACAAGTCATGGAAGCACCATAATAACACAAAACTTTGTGCAAATCCATCCGATAGCTGTTGAAATATTTTTGCTCAGACCAAATGGGCGTACTGACCAACCAAGAAACAGACCAATATTGTCCTTAAAGTTATTCAGCTAGCATGGCTAAAAATCACAATCTGAATATGATGAAGTTTAATTAGCTATAAGAAAATAAAAATGCCTATGAAAATGTGTTTGTTTGTTGTACTTATTAAACAGATGTAAACTGTCATGCTCGATGAAAGTTACACACCACCAAAGCTTTATCTTTCCACTGTCTACTATTCCAGAGACAACAGCTTTTGATTTTCTCTTCTGATAAAGCCGAACCAACTGAGGAGTGTGTAACTTTAAAGTCACTAGAAATTGCTTAAAAGAAAAGGTCAGTGGAACCTTGAGGGAATAGTACGAGTTCCCTCTTGTGGCCATTTGAGGCTCCCTACTTGCAAAGTTCGTCATATAGTGAGGCTTTACACGTTTCAATATGACATTAGTGTTTCCACAATTTAGGAATGAGATTCCTGTTTGCTCCATGCTGCTGGAAGTTACAGCAGAAGATGGATTAAGTATTGTGGTGGACTTATACATATGTATGATACAGGCAACTCAATAACAGCAGAATCATAGAAAGAACAATCAGATTACAGGGCTTGGGAAATAGAGGGAGATAGTGAAGAAAATGTTATTAGTTGAGAAGTGAGATGTGGAGAGGAGAAAGTAAGGAGAGCCTGTACATTTTCTAGGAATAGGGAGCATTAATCATTTTTAACTTCATTTGCACGTTCGTACTTGAGCAAAAAACATTTTAGCGACTGCTTAGATGAGAATCCAAAAGCTACCTGGAAGTACATACCAGAATGAAAAGTAGGGATTGTTCAATGAGGAGATTATGAGCACAGCTCAAACAGAAAGTGAAAAGTGCCAAGACACATGCAGATAGAGAAGTGTTAGGGAGTGCAAGAAAAAGACAGACAGTGCGATGAAGGGCTTTGTACAAACTTATTAAATAGTAGAAGGTCAGACGAGTTCTAGAACTGACTGCCAAAACCTGATACATCACATGCCATCACCATTAAGATCTTGCATCATCATTAAGGAAGCTTTGGATCAATGCCTCTGTTCTTTCTATCTTTCACATTCTTTCTATCGTGCATTTGATCCTCCATCTGAGGTTCCCTCACCTTTACATTCATCCTTAACTTCTATACCTCCTTGACACAAAGATTAATCAGAAGAAATGGACCTCACTCACCACCCACCCCAAGTTCTCCTGCTCCCCAGCCCTCACCTGACTCTCTCTCCTGCCTCCTTGTGGCCTCCGCTCCTTCCCCCGAGAACCGATGAGAAAATGAGAGCTGCTTGTCTCAGAGCTCTCTCTCAGGCTTGTTTCTTTGTTTAATTGGAGTTTTACTTGCAACAATCAATTCATTTCTACCTGTGTTCCTTACTGCATTGATCTGCTGCCACAGAGAAGAGTCAGATGTACAGTTCCACTCCCACTGCACTAAACACCACAGGCTCTGATACCGACTCAGTTTATTTATTCTCCTGTTTCCTCTAGAAGAGTAAGAGAAGCTGCTATGTATTTGTGTGCAGTCAGAAGACACTCATTCAGAATAAGGTGTCGTAAAGCTGAGTGCACATTAGGTTTTACTCTGAAGTCATGATGTACCTTAAATGCTCCCTCATCATTTGTGGTGGAAATTTCTGGTTGGTAGAAAGGTACACAGTGGCAGTGGTTAGCGTTGTCACCTCACAGCAAGAAGATTATGGGTTCAAGCCCCAGCTGACCTGATGCTTTTCTGAGTGGAGTTTGCATGTTCTCCCTGTGCCTGCGCAGGTTCTCTCTGGGTACTCTGGCTTCCTCCCACAGTCCAAAAACATGTAGCTTAGATTGATTGGCAGCTCTATATTGTCTCTAGGAGTGAGTGTGGTTGTCTGTCTCTAAGTGTGAGCCCTGTGATGAACTGTCCAGGGTGTAGCCCGCCTCTCACTCAGTGTCATCTGGGACTGGCGCCAGCCCTCCCATGACCCTCTTCAGGATAAGTGGTATAGATAATGGATGGATGGATTGCTAGAAAGCTACACTGTAAAAGTACTGAACTTAAAAGACGAAAAATTTTAAATGGCACACAGATCAGTATCACCAAGTGTGAGATCATGTTTTACTGTTGGAAAACAGTGGATCAAGCCCATCATGTTTAGAGAAAGTTGCTCCCACAAGCTGCGATGGACTGGCGACCCGTCCAGGGTGTACCCTGCCTTTGCCCGATTGCCGGCTGGGATTGGCTCCAGCCAGCAATTCTCCCCCTTCCCTGGCACTGATTGGTAGA